ATAGTGAAGGAATAAGCAATAAGGAGCTTTTCAAGTGACACTTCTACATGTAAAACTATTATAGTATATGGAGATGACATTAAGTGCTCTCTTTTCACAAAAAGTAGTGATAACTTTTTCGTTTATTCAATAAAGTAAAGCAATTTATTTATAATCCTTTTAACTTGCATTTAAAGGAAATCCACTTCAATGTCACTTGCAAAGATATTCTTTCAATTTGATAGTATGGAACTAATAATAAATTCAATAAACGCTGCTGAGATATAAAGAATTTGTTTATTCAAATGAAGAGAAAATCCATCGTTTTCGAATGATTATTTGATAACACAATGTATCTTATCTTATTTTTTGTATTATTAAAAAAAATTACAAGGACTTTTAACGAATTCTGCTACTGTATTTGATCATTAAAAAAAGGAATAAAATTTGTTTTGCAGATCAAAAACTATATAGTCACTCAGTGAAAAGAGATAGGTTTACATTAAGTAAAAGGAATGACTTAATTAGACAGAATTGGAATAAAATTTGTTTTTCAGATAAAAAACTATATAGTCACTTAGTGATAAGTGATAGGATTACATTATTTTTTTGATAAGAAACTATAAAGTCACTCAGTGAAAGTGATAGGTTAACATTAAGTAAAAGGAATGACTTAATTAGACAGAATTAGAATAAAATTTGTTTTCCAGATAAAAAACTATATAGTCACTCTGTGATAAGTGATAGGATTACATTATTTTTGTGATAAGAAACTATATAGTTATTAAGTGATAAGTGATAGGATTACATTAAGTAAAAAGAATGACTTAATTAGACAGAATTAAAATAAAATTTGTTTTCCAGATAAAAAACTATATAGTCAATCTGTGATCAGTGATAGGATTACATTATTTTTCTGATAAGAAACTATATAGTTATTCAGTGATAAGTGATAGGATTACATTAAGTAAAAGGAATGACTTAATTAGACAGAATTAGAATAAAATTTGTTTTCCAGATAAAAAACTATATAGTCACTCAGTGATAAGTGATAGGAATACATTATTTTTTTGATAAGAAACTATATAGTTATTCAGTGATAAGTGATAGGATTACATTAAGTAAAAAGAATGACTTAATTAGACAGAATTAGAATAAAATTTGTTTTCCAAATATAAAAATTAAATAGTCACTCAGTGTTAAGTGATAGGATTACATTATTTTTCTGATAAGAAACTATATAGTCATTCAGTGATAGGTGATAGGATTACATTAAGTAAAGAGAATGACTTAATTAGACAGAATTAGAATAAAATTTGTTTTCCAAAAAAAAAACTACATAGTCACTCAGTGTTAAGTGATAGGATTACATTATTTTTCTGATAAGAAACTATATAGTCATTCAGTGATAAGTGATAGGATTACATTAAGTAAAGAAAATGACTTAATTAGATTTTTATATATTAAAAAATATAGATTGCAATACCCACTGCGTTCCGTTTAGAACAGGGCTGTCCAGACCAGATACGATCGCGGGCCAATACAAGTCATTGTGTAAATTGAAAGGTTGTAAAGCATATACATACGCTTTTTTGGAGAATAATAAAAATACGATGATAATGTTAAATTAAGTTTTACTAATTCATTTATTTGAATTCATTTTCTTGGGATTTCATAAAAATAAAATCAAATGAGACCCCAGAAAATCTGTCACCAGAATATCTCAAAGGAAAGTTTGCGTGATTACAAAAAAATCGAGAACTGCATCTGGACATGGACAGATGCTTTAGACATTTCCTGATTCAGATCACTGGTATATAGTAATACCAAATACAAAAAAAAGGATTAATTTACTGAAAAGTGGATGAAGAAGAAGTGATTATGCATTTTATCTATGACTACCCAAGCTTGGTTAAAAGAAAAATTGAGACTTATTAGACTGTTCAACGGTAATGACAAAGGATCTAACAGTGTTTATCTAACAGTGTTTTTTGTTAAGCATGTGATATTAATATAATAAGTGATATTCACGATTAAGTAAGTAAGTCCTGTACAGCCACTAGAAAATCCATTACTTTAATCCATGCTTCACAATCCATGCTATACAATCCATTACTTTCAAGCATATTATAAGTTTGAAACAGCGTAGAGAAAGTTAACCTGAGAGCTTGTTTATGTAAAGTAATTAGCTGAAATGTTATTTAAATGAAAAATATTAAATGAATAGTAAATGAAAAATTAATTAATACTAATATTTTCCATAAATTCCTTTTCTGAACTGAAAATTATACATGCTGAAATGAAAATGTGTTTAAGAGATAGTTGCGGACTTCTTGAGTCTGCATTACTAAGGGCGGCTATTAACCTCAATTTTGAGTTAAGTTTTTTACTATTTTTAATCATTATTTAATGTGATTATAATATCCTACATTTTGAAAGTGATTTTTAAGCAATTGGTTAACTTTCAATTAACTCTGTTTTATAGTTAACTAAATTTTTTTTGGTTTTATTTTAATTAGTAGTCTATTTAGTAGAAGAAATCAGTAGTTGTAAATAGATAGTGTAGGATTAATCTTTTTGTTGTATTTTGATAGTATTTTTAATGAAGGGATTAAAAGTTGTCTTTACAAAGTGTAGGATTAAAAGTATTTACATGAGTTCTTTGCACTATGTAATGGTATTAAACCAAATAAAATTAAATGTCGGAATGTGAAGCCTCGATTTGAATAAAATCCAGGTCATAGTGGTGATGGCCAAAGTACTGAAAATATCCCAGAAAAGCATCCAACGCATATTCTAAAATCAGTTCAAGATAAAGGCTTACAAGTTGCAAAAGGCACAAGATTTTACACCAAAGCAATAAAAATTTAGACTCGAAAGTGCAAAGGAGTTGTTAAGCTTGCACGATCGTTGGCGAAACATTGTGATCTCTGATGAGAAAAATTTCCCATGGAACTGTCAAAATTATTGTGTTTACTTAATTGAGCACAGTACCGAAATTTTAAGACTACGAATTGCCACCTGAAGTAATTTTTCATCTCAAGTAATGGTTTGTGTAATGACGCTTCTCAACCGTTTTCATCGAGCCTGGTGTCAAATCCAATACCATTTAATATCGGGAAAATATTTTGGAAGTTGCTTACCAGTCTTAAGTCTTGTTCCAACAAGACTCGACACCAGTCTATAGAGCAAGTGGGAACCAAGAATGGTTAAAAATCATGCTTCACACCTTACTTCATCCAGACAATGGCTTTCGAATTCGACAGATGCAAAACCGATGAACTATTCCATCCGGTCCATTTTGGAGATCAAGGTGACGTTCAAAAAATATGCCAGCATGGATGCGCTAAAGAAAGGCATTATTCTGGAATGGGCCAAAATACCGGTAGATCACATTTGTGAAGCATGTAACTCATTTTTTAACCATTGGAAAGTAAAGGTAAAAGGTTGCCACATCGAGCTAGAGTGAATGGATTTAAAAATTTTAATTATTTTCAGAAATTTTTGTAATTTGCATCAATAAAGATTAATTTCGCACAAAAAAGATATGGTCGCTTGTATAGGTAACACTTCTATCGCTTAACCCTGTATGTGTAAGAAACGTATCCCAAGAAAATTTTTAGAGACGAACTCAATATGTAATATATTTGTAGCTTAAAATAAATTTATTCTGATTGTATTTTACTATATTTATAGATACACATGAACTGGAGTTAATGTTAATTTAGAAGTCTGAAAAATATTTTCTCGTCTAGGTTATGAAAATAAATTTTAATTAAAAAAAAAATAATATGAAGAAAAATGGAATTAGATATTTACGTGTTAAGTAAAATGTCGCAAAAGTGAATGAAAACATCTTTGGCAAGTGAAGATTAACAAGTGTTAGGAAAAGTCTTTTTAGAGTGCAAAAATAAAATAAATTACAATTCAAAAAAATGTTTTGAAATGACTTTTGTGATTTTAATTTGAAGCACACATTTTACACATAAATTTTTGTTATTTATTCTGAAGTTGTTATGTTTCCAAGTAGAACCAAAATAACACATCCAGCAGGGCATTGAACTCAACCGTCTGCCGAATGAGTCCTCAGCAACCGTTGCCATTTCAGGTGTTAGCAATTTATTTACTGATCCGAATTGCTTTCACATGTTGTTGACACATCATTACAACATCGTAACAATGTTGCTACAATACCAGAAAATGTGTTTCTCAACGAATTACATGATTTTATGTATTTATGCATTTATGTGGACACTTGCAGAAATTAACTTTAAATAGTATTTTGTATACTTTTTGTAAATATTTGGGTAATCTTAAGTGTTTTCGGCTGCGTAACTTTTTTATGTTCGCGGACGTAACAGCATGCAAATGTCTGCTGTCGGAACTGGAAATGGTCAAATCACGCGTGTGACACTTGTTACAGTTGCTGCCAACATAATCAGCAATTACGAATGGCACGTCAATACATAACCACACCAACAGCAGCGATAGCAACAGTTGCTAGTTGCTCGCCAATGGACTTAATTTCGCTTTTAATTGAGGCTCGAGCCGGTGTGCGATAACAACGTGCGGCCGATTTGTTGAAACGTTGCAATCGTTAAGGTGCAAGTCTCGTAATGATTCGCACTCAAATGTGTTTTTTATTTTCTATTTTTAAATTTCGTTAAATACTTAAGTCTATTTACGTCATTAATTATAAATTTTTTGAATAAATAAACATTAATCTACTAATATCATTAACTACTTAAATCTGCCTTAATAGCTACCATCTTTAACAATAATAGACTTAGCGTGCCCAGTCGACTTGAGACTCATCACGGCAGCGAACAGCGCGAAGAAGAAACCCGCCACGCCAGTGCTGCCCACCAGCAGGGTCAGGCCGGCTACCAGTACTGGTACTAGCGTAATAAATTTAAGCTTA